GATCTGTTGAAAGGGGCCAAATTTTAAAAAAGGAAAAGTTAGAGAAAGAAGCTATAATAGTGTTTAGTGAGGACCAAGCTCGTGGTCCTTTCTCTACTTCATGCAAGGATGCAACTGGAACACTTGCTTTTACCTTTTATGAATGGTTACTTTGATGGCCCAAAAAAAAAAAAAAAACAAACAAACAAACAGAGACAGTTATCCTTACCTTGGCTTTCGCTCTTTGGAGATATAACCTCATCATGTCTCTTTTTGTGGAACGCCGAAATTTTAGTACATTAATTTCACCAATATTTATTGTTGAATCTGCTTCGAAGATTTCAGGACGCCTTATACTTGTGCCGGGTTGACCTAAATGTTGCTGGGTTAACCGCTCTGATCGGGCTATGTTACTCTGATCATCAGTAGGGACATTTTGCTCTCTGCATGCATCTATTGGATTACTTTGAGACAAACCCAAAGATAAATTGTTGGAATCTACTGTAAATTGAGGAATGAAAATATTGTTAGGCATCTACTAATATACAAACAAAATTGTAAGATATATCAAAATCCTTTCTTTATGTAATCAAAAAGAGAAAAGGAAATTAACAGAAGAAAGAATTTTGTTCGCTCAAAATGCAAGCACTCTGGATATTAATTGAGTAAAAATTTATTTATACAACTATAAATTAACACTATATATTAATACTTAAAAATTAAAAAAAGAATTAAAATTTTATTAGCGTTTAGATAAGTCTTTTACTTATTTGTCGATTTTAATTTTTTGTTTTTTAAATTTAATTTTAAATTGTAATCTTATTTAGAGATTTTAATACTTTCTTCTTTAAATAAAATTGTGATTATCTATGTATTTTTTTATTGTTAATCAATAACTGAAAACTAAATAAATTTAAATTTAAATTATTACTTTAGTTACAAGATAATAAAATTAAAAATTCTTGCTTAAATCTAAATAGATAATTTATTTAAAATTCAAACTTTACCTTATTAAAATTTTAATTTAAATTCATAATTAATTTCATTATATTATCTCTCTGAATTTTAAATTAATAAATCAATAAAACTTATACTGAGTAATAGAACATGTTATTTTATT